AGCTACAGCTACAATCAACGTGCGTTGAATTGTTTTCGGTAGTATAGCTTGTGTTGAAGACAAAACCGGTTTTTATAGCCAAGAAGCTAGCTGGTGTCTTTGTACACACGATCATAAGCTATACTTGTATATTGTATTTAACAGAAATAGTTTGGTTACTGTTTCTGATATTAACTGACTGTACCTCGAGCTCTGCATGAGAAATGCCCTGATAGGCCAAGTTTTGGTGATGACTCACCGCGGCTATATGCTTTTACTTGATAAGCTAATTTTTTTTATTTTATTTTTTCATTAGTGATCATTAACGATGCAAGACAGCTATTAAGATCTCTTATTTGGAAACAGAAGAATTATTTAAACTTTTTTCTTTGTTTTTTTTATTCTTAGCAAATTTTATGGGGCTATTGCATTTTTTTTGTTGTATTTTTTTAAAATTTCGATTATAATAAAGTTAAATTATAAGTTAAAGATAGTATAAATATACTTTGAGATGTATAAATATAGTTTAAAATTGAATAAATAAATATAAATTTCTTTTATCTAGTGTATTTAAAGTAAAAAAAATAAAGTTGTTGTTTATGTTTTACATATTGTTTGTTCTTTTGATTAATGCTGCTGAGATTGTTGAAGTTGAATCTACCATGATAATTGGGTCTTGTTTGGACAAGTTGTATACTTGGAATTTTAGATTTGGCCGGTATGTGCTTATTTTAAACAAAAACGGACAAATTACCAAGCATTATCCTGGTAATATCTATCTTCAAAAGTTTTATGGTACCAGTACCACACCTTGTTATGTGAATGTGCATAAACCTAAAGGCACAAAAACCAAGCAACCTCATGTGACAAGAAACAAAAAAAAAAAGGCTGTAATGAAGAAAAGATCAAGAACTCGCAAAGCACGTGGCGAAATCATTTTGTTATTTGATACATGAATAGCTATTTAATCAAATTGTACCGATAGGCGATTCCTTTCAGGAATCGCTAATATTTTTTGTTGTATTTTTTAACACGGCTAAAAAAATCTTCAACTATCTATATTTTTAAAAAAAACATAAAATATGTATGTGTTATTGTTATGATAAATAAATTTTTAAATAAAATATAATATATTAAAGAAAGATATAATTTAAATTTTAAAAAAAAGCAATGTCATCGTCTAATAAATCTCCTTCTAAAAAGAAGAAGCAACAGTTAAAAAACTCTGTAATCGCTGCTCCTGGTGGCAATTATGGGTATGGGTATTCTGGCATGGTCGCGTCCTCCAATAGTGCTATATCAAAGTATGCGAATTATACAAATGCAAAAACTGTCGTGGCCCTTGTGGACAATCAAAAGGAGATAGTAGAAACTTTGACAATTCAGCAAAATAAATCAATACAAAAATTAAATAATGATAATGCAAAGCTTATTAAATCTATAAGTAATGATCAGACAAAGACTATAAAAATTTAACCAGTTCACATGAGAAGACCATCAAGAATCTAAGTGGTAATCATAAAAAGTCATCAAGAATTTAAGCGATAATCAAACAAAGGTGGTGACAGGGTTGAGTGGAAATCATGCTGATGTTGTAAAAACTATGAACAATAATGAGGTAAAAAAATCAAAAGATACGCATGATGCGTATGGAAAGGTTATTGACTCTATACAGACCAACTATAACAAGAGATTGCAGAGTCAGGACAATTTGATCAGGATGCTGGCCATTAGTAATATTAATGTGACAAATAAGTTGTTGGACCATGTGACTAGTACTAGTAAGGCAAAAAGTGCCTTGGGGATAATATGGTAAATCAGTTGTTGGGTCATTTGATGAATAGTAATAATAATAATAATAAATCAAAAAAAAATAATTTAGACGAATTTAAGAAAACTTTAAAACTTTTGAATAAGGAGCAAACACAGGTATTACTTAAAAAGATTGATAGTTTAGAAGTAAAGAACAGCGATCCTGAATTGTATAAAATGATTCTTGAGAATGTAAAGCTTTGATTTTTTTTTAAAATAAAAGTATAAATACCCCGTTGGTTGTTATTTTTTACTAAAACAAATATCTAATTTTCTTTTGTACATTACCTATATTAATTTCAATATTTGCTATATACTTTTTATTTTTATTGCAGCTGTTGTGCTGTATCGGCTTTGCAATAGCGAGTTGCTCAATTTTTTGTATATCTTAAAAAGCTACATTACACTTTTGGCTATAAATATTCATTTAACAATCCAGGAAGTTATTAGGGCATTAGACACCTACGATGATAAAACTATTTAAACCTAGCGCGCACAAAAAGCAAAAAAGTAACCAAGAAAAAAGGTTTAATAATCAAGAAAAATCAACAAACTAAAAGTATAAAAAAATCAAAGATAGCAAAAAAAGAGTTACCGGTAAAAAGAAAAGCCAAGGTTCATTTTTCTAACACTTGTTGTGGTAAAAATATATTATGAGCAAACGAAAAGTTGCTTCGTTGCTAGGATCTGAACCAAAATCTAAAAAGGTTTGCTCAATTGGAACATGCATAGTTGGTGATAAACCATCATATAATGCGTGCAAGCAATCGTGATCTTCTAATTCAAAGGTTGATCGAATAAAGTTGGGTCCTATAATTACTAATGATGAGATGCAAACTTTGGCCTATAATGATACTCTTTATAAGCGATTTTGGGTTTGGCGTTTGCTACAACAAAATGATAGATGGCTCTCGACTCGTCT